CCCCAAAACCCCAAAACCCCAAAACCCCAAAACCCCATGATTTCACATCAAAATTGAAGAATCAAATATTATCCACTTATCTCTCATGGTAGCTCTATAATATCGTATTAGAACTTGGAAGTTTTGATTGTCTGATAAAGTTACAAAATTTTATACAAAAATTTAGTGAAACCACTTTGAGTTAAGCTAAACCTTACCAAAACGTATCTCTTTCATCAATTGCTGTAAATTATTATTCTTAGACAGTTTTTCCCAAGAATGCTATAATTTATATACCACAAAATTATACCTTTAAAGAGGTGATTTCCTGTTCCTCAAATTCTACCTGAATAGCTCCAGTGATTTCCTTCTCAAACGGTTCAAAACTTTCGGCTCCGCTATTTTGATTTCAGAGCTCTTTAAGAATGATCCTCGATGCCAACATCTTGCACACATTGATCCCCCGATTATGAGGAATAGTTCTTCAACTTTTAAGAGCTGCCATAACACACTGCTTCGAGATTTTCAGATCTTCAAAAATGGTCGAAATCGATAACAAGTAAAGGCAGTTTGCTTTACAAGTAGGAGATATTATCTTCTTATTCATGTACTCTATGATTACCCTTATCGAGTCTCGATATTTCTCAAGCCTATAAATTATTATCTCACAATACTTGATCAAATTTAGACTATAATAAACGACCAAATCCTCCTCATCACTTGGAGAACTACTCGAATGATGTGATTCTGTGCCAAACATCCTAATATTCTGATGAAAATTCAAGTCCATGGCATCATCGGTCACTCTGACTAAAGCTCAAATCATCCAACTTACACGAAGTCCCGTCACTTGTCTGATGACCATCAACATTAACGCTCCTTCTGGGTTTCATTTCCTTCTTCAAAATGTCCCCAATACTTTCCTTGTACTCCTCTATAGTATCTTTATAATCTCCTTCGTCTGAATCTGAGTCGTAGGTCAAGTCAAAATCTCCTTCATAAGCAATATCTCTCTTCTTGTTCAAGGCTCTGTAGATGCAAGCCCAGATGTTAGACTCCATATCTGCGAACTTTTCAACTTGGTCTTCAGAAGGGTTCTTTATTTTAAAGAAATTTATACAGTTTTCTTTGAAGTGCTTGCAGCTTTTGGCGTGGTACTCTGCTTTGACGTTAGGGTCTCAATCTAGAAGTTCGTTTGCCCTGGTTGACATAAATGGGAGCATGCTGTAGACAAAATGACCTTTGTTGTCAGTCCGGTAGACGAGTAAGGAAGCTCTGATGAGAGCATCTTTGAGGGTGATCCATTGAGGTCCTCCCCACATGTTTGTCAAGTCATCGTCTTGTATTCCTCCAGGAAAGAGTCCAATGAAGGAGAATAGGCTCAATCATTTTGGATTTGCATTTGCCATATTGGTGATGCTGAGTTCTAGAGATACTCTTAAAGATGTGATTTCGTTCTTTCTTGAAGCAGTCACTTCAAGAGCATCCATTACATTAGTGCCTCAGAAAGCCAAGAATAACTCTTTAAGGGATTTATACTCCAAAAGAGGTGCTGCAAGTGAAATAGCTTGAGGATGACCACCTAAAAGTTCTGTAAATGGGTGATCTAACAAGGTTGGTAAACCGTCAGAATTTCTCTGGTTCTTGATTCTCATAGTCTGTGCGATAGTGCACCCCTTTGGAATCTTACTTTTAAGCAGCTCATGAAGCTCTTGTTCTTTAATTTTTCTTGGCGATTTTGATATCAACAATTTCAATGACTCATCTTTTGATAGAGGATACAGAGTATATGGAGCTTCCATATTATGCCCAAGTCTGTTAATAGATTTTCTGGATGTGATAAGGAACTTAACCTTCCTACAGCTTTCAAGGATATAGTTTAACTCGGAAGTGAATCTAATGGTATCATATTCCAGTGGATCCTCTGTATTATCTAGTATAAGCAATAAATCCCTATCCTTCAAAATACTCGTAATAAATCCTCGATATTTCATATCATGTTGTGGATTTTCCTTTACTTCCTCATCTGAAGCTTCAATCTGCTCTAAGCCATATTTCTTATAATCTTCTAGTGAGCAGCCAGACCGGATCATCACAGAGAGCCTGGTAAGGAACATATAAGCGGTCTCTCAGCCACGAAGACCCACATATATAATCCCATCAACAAACTTCTTTCGATCACGGAGGTAGTTTCCAATGTTCCTGGAGATGCTAGTTTTTCCGATTCCGGGAGGCCCAAGAATAGAAACGAATCTATTGTCGCTAAGAAGGTTGATTATTTCGTACATCTCTTGCTGCCTACCCACAAAGCCTTCAACATTAGCAGGGATAGAGTCAAAGATTGGCTTAGTGTCAATACTAGTGAGCTTTCCTTTTTTGAAATCAGAGAGAGCATAACAAACATGATTCCTCGAGCTTCCGAAATCATCTAAGTCTTGAAGCAAAAGTAAGAACTTGTTTGCCTCAGATTCATTGATTACTCTTGCTACTTCTTCCTTCGCAATCTTGAAAGAAGTTCATACGTTGAAGTTTTTGACGAAAAGAGTTTCATAGAACACCTTGGAGAATCTGAGTGAAGCGGCATCAGCTATTTGTTCACCGCTCCTGATGCAGATAACATGTTTAGCCTTGGCTTTTAAGAAGATCTCTCCAGCAAACTGAGAGTAGCAAGAGGATACGAATACGACTTCAAATGGATTCTTTGACTGATGCACGAGCTCTAGCAACTCATCTAAATCTTTTTGGAAGAAATAATCAGACATTCCTCTCTCATTCTCTAAAAGTAGGATATTTCCTTTTTCCTTCGAAAAATGGTAATCTTGACCGAGATTCTCCAAGGTATTTTGAATGCCATGTCCTGAGAAATGCAAGACAATAGGTAAATCAGTTATCGTACTTCTGAGGTTACTCACAGTTGCAACATCTGTCTTATATTTCAGTTCAAATTGGATCCCTTGTAAAACTTGTACGATGTCACTAATTTCGGTGAGATAATCTAACTGCATAATATTCTCCAACCTCGCGCGTTTTCTGACCAAAGGTGAAGAAAATAAAAAGGCTAAATGAATATTAGATTCACTCATATTCATTGGAAGTATTTTAGACTGACTCTTGAGCATGCTAATTTTACTATCTCTACTCACAATCGCTCCTTTAGCGATCCTCAATTTTTCCTTATAGCTCATTCTTTCATGAAGGAGCTCAATTACCATCTTGTTGATATCTCCTGGGCTTAGTCTATCAAGTCTTGATTGAGCTTTGGAGATAAAGTCGTGTTCTTCTTCTTCTACTTTAGCTGACTTACACTTGACCAGCTTCTTATCTATGACACTCTCAACATCATCGCTATTCTCATCTTCCTCTTCTTCCAACAGGTGAATCGTCCTTAATCTGGAGATTGTTAAATTTTCTATTTTGGCTGGCTTCTCGACTGGGCATGAGGCTTTGGGCTCTAAAATACTAATAAGAATACTCTTACCATAAGCGATATCTTCTAGATCGTCGAAATCGTCTTCGATACAGAGATCGTCATCCATCATATCTCCCATATCCTCAAGTTGACCGAAGTTGAAGTTGGCAGTCTTAGCTTCAGATGGTTTTTCCTCAAGTAGAGGAGACTTTACGCTCTGGCTTTCACCAAGCTTTGCCTCTTCAATAACCCCTCAGAGGTCCTTGACCCCATCAAGAAGGTCTTCTTTCAAAATTTGCACTCCTGAGGGTCGTTCTTCACTACGAATAATCACGTGGTCATCCTCAGTAGATATTTTTGCCATACATAGTTTGTCGAATAGTTCTTGAATACTATTGACTTCCTCAACCGTAACATTGGAATGAGATTTTTCATGTAGTTTGTCGATGTCTTTTTGATATAAACTGTGAATGACTCCTGGATTAAACTCAAAACTTCCCTCATCAGCTTTGGTCTTCTCAGAGGCTTTAATATCCGTCCTCACAGTATCCTCCCGATTCCTTAATGGTTTAGCAATAGAATTTTGCTTGTGCCTAAAAGATCTGGAAGATTTTGATAAATCCTGATTCAGTGCAGAGAACCTATCCTCTTCTGGTGCAAGCTTTTGAACATCCTCTGATTCCTCCGCAAGTTGTCTCAAGTCTGTGATTACCTGCCTTGACCTACCAGTGCCATCTAAATCTTCCTCTGGCTGGAGGAATCCTCCCTCGTCATCTCCTACATCAAGGTCATCTTTTGGGATCATCTCTGAATTGATCCTACGAGACTTATCTCCAGTATCCTCTTTGATGTTGCTCTCAAAATCGTGCTGTAGACTTTCAAAAAAGTCTGTTTCGTCATATCCAAATACATTTGAGTCTCCTTCTTTGTCTATTGATAAATTTAGCTTTTAAAAGGAAAAATAAAATAGAAACGCTAAATTACCTTTCCTTTTACTTCTTTGTACTCCTGCCTTATGTTTATTAACACTATAGAGATGAAATATGATTATTAATTTGTATTTTGAAAAGATTTTGAGCAATAAATTATCTTGAAAGAGAGGAAATATGAAAACTCACAACCGTACCATAACAAAGATTAATAATTACACCTCTAATACTCAAACCCAGTTTAATCAGACCTAAACTCACCTGCTTGAGCCGATTCCTTCAACTCCAACTGTCTTGGGCTATAAAAGTATCAGTCTGCTGCTATGCTGCTCCCCACCAAGCATAGGCTATGTTAACATCAAATATCTAATTTGGCCTAAACCCCTGCTAAAACATACCCTTAATTTATTATGAGTAGCGTTTCTCCTCTTGGGACACAACTTCTTGGCGAAGAGCGTGTTCATTTGGAACCCAAGCAGATCTGAAGAGATCGAAGAGTTAGAGTTCTCGCTATTGGTCGACTCCATTTTTAAAGATTAATTATTATGAACCCAGATTCAACTAGGTTTTATAAGCTAGGGGTTTTGGGGTTTTGGGGTTTTGGGGTTTTGGGG